CCCGCCTCTAAAAATAATCAGTGGTCGAACAAGAACAGATGCGCAGCCGGGGCTGCTGAGCCGAGGCCCGGCCAGAGCAGGCCTGCCTGCTACTCGCTTGTGCACTCAGATGTGTGTTACACTGTCGAGCCACGTCTAATGCGGAATGATTTTGAGCGCAATGGCCGCTTACAAACAACGCAGTTTGCTTGAAAAGGCGCAGATATGCCGAGAAACCCTTTCACGTTATTGTCGTTATGTTTTGTGTGACCTGGTTTCTGTTCGAGTCCTATCGCAGAGGAGGCTGTTGTAGGGCGCTGCACTACTTGCGTGCCATCCCCACTTCAAAGGCCCCCCGCTGCTGCTGCCGCTGCCCTCCCGCGCGAGCCAGTGGTCGTGCTGCGCCGATATTCAAGAAGTTTCTGGCGCCGGCTGCCGCCCCTGGCCCTGGCCGCTCTGCCGGGGTGCCTGACCCGGGCCGGCAGGGGGTGGAGGGAAGGCTTGCGCGACCCGAGGCGACCCCACCCCGGCCCGGCATTTCCACTTCAAAAGTCGCCGGCGGTTCGGGTTGGGGTTGACGCCGTGGGGTGAGAGTGCGCCGGGGGGGCTCGGGCCGCCTGCCTCGCTCCGCCACCCTGGGGTGTGGGGGGGGGGGGGGGGGGGGGGGGGCCACGGGTGAATGAAGTGGATGAATGAGGTTTGTTTTCTCCCTCCTGGGGGGCTGTGCTCGCCCTGTAGTGGCCGAACTCTGTGCTGGAATGCACTCGCGGGGGGATTGGCGGACGTCCAAGCGCCGCCGCCGCGCCGGCAGTCACTCTGCCCTCGTTGGTGAGCCGCAGCTTGGTCGCAGCGCCGCGGGGCGCCGAGCTTCATTTGCCGTCTACAAAGTGATTGCGGCTCATTGAGCGGGGTCAGCACTGTGCTGCTGAGCAACTCCCAACGCCCACCCCTCCCTATAAATGCTGTGTCATGTCATTCCCTTCCTACCCTCCCCCCCCCCCTCCTATTTTTTGGACTGTCCGCAGTGATTGTCTTTACCCGAAGGTAAAAGTTTCCCTTTTGGATAAGATTGACGGTTTCCGTTCAAGTTTGGAAGTTTGGTTTTGGATTGCTGAGTAACGTAGTTTTGATAGGTCGATTGTCGCTACCTGCCGGCCGAGCAAGGGTTTTCTTTTTTACACGCACACACAATTTTTAGATTTATCTTCTTGCCTACATGAGTCCCTCTTCTTGTTTCAGGAGTGGTGAAGTCTGATCAGTAGACCGACGGAAGGCGAGGGGAACCGAAGGATTCTTTCAGCAATGTATGTCAGGTTGGTGGCCCCAAGATACCATGCCAAATGTCCTATATTTCTGAACTTTTGATTATTGATGCCGTCTTGCGTTTTTCAGATAGCATGGATTTCCCACTCCCCAGGAAGTTAGGGAGGGAACTACTTGAATTTGAAATCAATCAAACTTAAAGAAAAGCAAGAGGGCGCCTTGGGGCGCCTTTTAATTTACAACCATGGACCACAGTGTGAAGGCAATGGACTCGCACAGCAGGCTCTCAATTGCACGCTTGCTTAATAGACACAGGTTTGAGAATGACGAGTTGGAAAGATTATACCGCCGCTATACCTATAAGCTTCAACATTCATCGGTATGATCATTTGGTCTTCAAAATAAATCAATGAATCAATTAACAGTAAAAATAAATTCTAATTTTGGTGGTTTTTCTACAGGTTTCAAGTGTTGTTGGATTATTTATCATTCTTACTTTCGTCTTGGCTACAATCAGTTTGGCTTACGTTCATGCGCCGTCCGTACAAAACGTGTACCATGGTGTCCACTGTTTGTTGTTTGTTTTGCTGCTGGCTTTTCTCAGAACGAAACTCATGCAGGTGAGCCCGAATTTTACTTAAAACCTGAAAATATCAGCACTTCTGGTCACTCGGCTCACCTGATGTTCTCTTATATCCACAGGATGCGTACTTGGTTTGGGTTTGTTACGCTGTTCTCTTCTTTTGTGTAACATTTTGTGGAGTCTGGCTGCCATTCGGTCCACTGCCAGAGCACGCTGGCACGGCGCTTTCGACGTCTGTGGGGGGAGGGGGTCTCCGCGTGGACACCCGCCGGGTGGTCGCAGAGGGGGTGTGGCAGGTGGTCTTTGTCACCTTCCTTGCCTACGCCATGATGCCTCTCAAGACTTGGGTGTCAACTGCGTTTGGACTGATATTGTCGGTGACGCACGTCGCCGTGTCGGCGTCGTTTGCCAGGGAATTTCCACACCTACTATGGCAACAGGTGGGATGGACTCCTATTTGCTCATGTTGTCAAAAAAACTAAAATTATACCCCATTGGTTGAATTGTTGTTTATTCCCTTCTTTTAGGTTTCTGCAAATATCATTATCTTTATTTGTGTGAATGTGGTTGGATTGTTCGTCCACAACCTCATGGAGCATGCACAACGGAAAGCATTTCTAGATACACGAAATTGCATAGCTGCTCGTCTTGAAATGGAAGATGAGAATGAAAAACTTGTGAGTCATATTTTCAATAAGTGTGAATTAAAAGAAATTGACCATCTATCCCTATTTACA